CCTCGAACCAAAAGAGGGCCTTACTTCCGGCCATAACCCATAGATTCTTTTCCCATGGTGTTTTAGAGCTACAACTTGCTGGATAACACGAGACCTGAGTTATTATTAATCGTGTAAAATCATGAGACCTGAATAAACAGTAAAATCAGCAAAAGCGTTGAACGAATGCAAAGCCCTTGCCTCTGACGATTGTCATTAGTGAATTTGTCGCTTTGGAGAATTGCCTTGGTTATCTTTAACACCCGTTTTGGTGTCTTTTAGTTTTACGGTTTTACCTTTTTGTCCTCTCTCTGGCGACTCTGGTCCACAATTCCCTGCTGAGCTGGACTAAAATGCCCCTGCCCGCTCGTGGGGTTGTCTGTGGTCCGATTGCACCGAGGCGCGAGCCATCATTTCTCTCCTCTGCCCTCCGCGGCTCCGCCGCACCCGCACTCGTCTTCTCTCCTCCCCTCCGTCGCCCGCCTCCTCGCTATGGCTAGGGAGACTCTCCCGGCCTCTTCCTCCCCTTCCTACCAGACTATCCTCCTACCGCAACCGCAACGGACCTGACGGTTTCCATCCACCTGGCCTCCCTGTCGCGCGAGCTGATCGACCCACGCAACTGCAATGCCGTCCAGAGGCTAGATCGTGCTGCTGAGCGCTGATCACGGTGAGGCCACCCAGAGTCCCAGATCCACCCGATTGCCACCCGGACTCCACCCCCTGCCTTTTCTTCTCCCGTTCACGCCGCGTGCGCTCTCCCTCCCTCCCTCCCTCCCTCTCTCGTGCGGCAACTGGGCGACAGCCGACGCCCCTACGCCAGGTGCCCAGGTCGGGTCCTTTGCCGGCGACGAGCACACACCAGGTTTGCGCACCCTTTCTCTTCCATTCCTGCTGTGCGAAACCGAGCACACGAACCCTAATTTAAGGTTTTTCTTGTTCGGATCTGATCTAATTACTAGCGTACGCATGCCTATAGCCAAGATTTTTTTTGGCAAAAAATATTGGGTGTACAATTGTACACCCATGCCCTTTACTGGGTCCGCTCCTGTCCTTAGCCAATGTTCATGTTTTTCCGTTAATATAATTGGTTCGTCAGGTTCAATTTTGAAGCATTTACATGCCGCCTTAATAAATTTGTTCCGTTTCTTCCAGGGTATTGTGGAGAGCTACCCATCTGTTTCGGTTTCTGGGAAGAACAGTTTTGGCATAATTTTCACCCTAAGATGCCTGGAATTACAGTGGATGAAGTTGTTGCAGAGGAGGTGCCGAACGGGGTGAATTCCTCTCCACAGAACGAAAATCTGCCCGCCCCAAAGTTGACGGCGGCTTCAACGATGGCAGCAAGCATGCAAAGCGAGGCACTTGAGATGCATGTTGAGGGCTCCGGTGCTGGGGAGCCCTCAATTGAGCAGCTCTACAACAACGTGTGCGAGATGGAGAGCTCAAGTGAGGGTGGCTCCCCATCACGCGAGAGCTTTGGCTCAGATGGGGAGGAGTCTAGGATTGACTCAGAGCTTCGCCATCTTGTTGCTGGGGAGATGGAGGCCATGAAGGTTATTGAGGAGGAAGAGGAGAATGGGAGTGTTGCCAACGTTGTACCCCCTGCTCCTGCTGAGAATGGGACCCAAGTAAAGGAACAGTCTTCCAATTCGTCCAAGAAGTCGAAGAAAGCCTCAAAATCACAGCTTGAGTCTGATGCCTCTGTTGGTCCCAATGGAAAGGCGTCCACTGAGGAAGGTGAGAGCGAGGTCAGCAAACCGGCAAGCCGAGTTGGCCGTCGGCGGAAATCAAATGCCAATCCACAGAATGGAACAGAAGATGCTGGGCTTGATAACCCAGACCTTGGTCCATTTCTTCTCAAACATGCAAGAGACTTGATTGCCTCAGAAAACCCACGACGGGCATTGAAATATGCTCTCCGTGCCACAAAGTCATTTGAGAAATGTGCTGGTGGAAAGCCAAGCTTGAATCTAGTGATGAGTTTGCATGTTGTTGCAGCAATCTACTGCAACTTGGGAAAATATGAAGAGGCTGTACCTGTGCTGCAACGATCCATTGAGATCCCTGTAATTGAGGAAGGTCAGGAACATGCTCTTGCAAAGTTTTCTGGTTGCATGCAGTTGGGGGACACCTATGGCATGCTAGGTCAAACTGCACTCTCACTGGAATGGTATGCTTCTGGGCTTGAAATCCAAAAGCAAACATTGGGAGAGCAAGACCCAAGGGTTGGAGAGACTTGTCGGTACTTAGCTGAGGCTCATGTGCAGGCACTACAACTTGACGAAGCACAAAGATTGTGTCAGATAGCCCTTGACATCCACAGGGAGCATGGAGAGACGGCCTCACTAGAAGAAACAGCTGATAGGAGGCTGATGGGTCTGATTTGTGACACCAAGGGTGATCATGAAGCTGCCCTGGAGCATCTTGTGATGGCCAGCATGGCCATGGTAGCCAATGGTCAGGAGACAGAGGTGGCCTCAGTGGATTGCAGCATTGGTGATATCTACCTCTCCTTGGGCCGGTATGACGAGGCTGTGTTTGCTTACCAGAAAGCTCTTACTGTATTCAAGACCAGCAAAGGGGAGAATCATGCAACTGTGGCTTCTGTTTTTGTGCGCCTAGCGGATCTGTACAATAAGACAGGGAAGCTGAGGGAGTCAAAATCTTACTGTGAAAATGCCCTAAAAATTTACCAAAAACCTATTCCAGGGACTTCTCTGGAAGAAATTGCCACTGGTTTAACTGATGTTTCAGCCATATATGAGACGATGAATGAGCATGAGCAAGCACTCAAGTTACTTCAGAAGGCCTTAAAAATGTACAACAATTCTGCCGGCCAACAGAGCACAATTGCTGGAATTGAGGCTCAGATGGGCGTCTTGCACTATATTTTGGGCAATTATGGTGAGTCCTATGATTCCTTCAAGAGCGCGATTGCGAAGCTCCGCACTTGTGGTGAGAAAAAGGCTGCCTTCTTCGGGATTGCCCTGAACCAGATGGGCTTGGCATGTGTTCAAAGATATTCGATAAATGAAGCAGCAGAATTGTTTGAGGAAGCTAGAACTGTTCTGGAACAAGAATACGGGCCATATCATCCAGATACTTTAGGAGTATACAGTAATCTTGCTGGAACTTATGATGCAATGGGCAGGTAAACTCCCTACTTCTCGAACTCAAATCGTTGTCTCAACTATGTGTTGATGATTGTCTGTGTGGCTGCATGCATAATGATTTGCATTCCAACTAGTAATTTGCTGGAAATAGTAGGTGGTATGTAGGTAAAGGTACTCTGGCAAGTGGGAATTCTTTGGTCTTAGTCGACTCCTCTTCCAGCTAGGCGCATGATTAGCATCTGTACCAGCTTTTGCTACTCCAATTAGTTGATCAGATATTGATCGGTACAGTATAAAGTTGGATCAATTTAATTGAAGTAGGACCATTTTGCATCATCTTTACTTGCTTATCACTGGCCGCTCTGTAAAGAAGGGCTGCACATACTTTATCCTTTTGCTTTATCTTTTTCTATTTGTTTTCTTCCTCCCTTGGAAACTTCATCTGCTTTGTAAGGCATGTACTAGACTTTTAGCTTTATTGTCTGGGTGAAAGAGTACAACTGGCTGGATCAGAAATGTCAACACTAGCTTAAGCTGGCTGGATCAGATTGCTGAAGCAACGGTGCTTTCTTTCTGAGGAGGAAATATCGCCCGTCAGCACCCCTGTGTCCTGCTAATATGAAAAGTTTTGTTTCATTTTAACCAAAATTATCTGTTAATATTTGCATTTTGTTTACCAGACTGGATGAGGCCATCGAGATCTTGGAATATGTCGTTGGAATGCGCGAGGAGAAGCTAGGTACAGCAAACCCAGATGTTGCCGACGAGAAGCGGAGGCTTGGGGAGCTGCTGAAGGACGCTGGCCGGGTGCGAAGCAGAAAGGCAAAATCCCTGGAGAATCTGCTCGAGACCAACCCATATACGGCCACCAAGAGAAATCCAGTTGCGGCATGAATCACTGTTCTGAAATGATAAGGTTTCATGCTGAAAGGCGAGGATTGTTACTAAGGTATTCAATTGGTTTGTTCAGATGGGGGTAACGGGAATAGTGGTGTTTACCTATTTAGAAATATATGAAATGTTCAAATTGATTTGTAAAGTTTCAAATGCTATTATGGTTACTTGTTCAGTGCTCTTTTATACTGTTCTTGAGAAAGCGAGTGGTGGGTTCCTTTTCTACCTCTCTGATGTGCGAGGTTGCATTCGTCAGTTATACCTTCGTTTTTATTACATACATGAAAAAAAATTCAACGCCACAGCTAATTCGATCGGTACTAATTGCAAAATAAATTTGCCAGCGAGAACCAGCTGTTGGACAGGTTGTAACACATCCAGTGTGATTTGCTGAGGCCTAGATCCGGAATTTATACGTCTACACAAATTATATGCGTCCTACTCCTACCCAACGCGAGCACCTTTTTCAGGGCAAACGCTGCCCGTAGTGTCCTCTACTATGGCAGGACGAATCCGCAGGGGCTCGTAGGACCGTCATTGGTCAGACTTCGCATAATCATTCCAAACTTTTCTCCGTTGAATACAAAGCTTGCTGTCACTCACTGTATATAAATGGTTGCTCGTCTAATGGAAACATAGCAAATTCGCATGCCAATATAGGGAAACGGAGGGCTAAACATTGCTATAGCCCACAAGTACCAATTAATTTCTGCAAACAGAGTAGGAGTATTCGTCTACAGCTTCAAGTGAGGAAGAGCTGTTGAACAGTGCCTGAAGCATGAATATGGCCATACACCAAAATTAGAGCTTCAGAAATATTTGTCATGTTCGCTTGGCTGATAAGCCATGGCTCAAAGTGTTGTGAGAGAAAAATAATATTCGTTGGCTGAAAAAGTACGGCTTATAAGCCAAGCGAACAGGGCAATTAACAATCCACTGTTCATCATTATTCAGTAACCACTACTGCTAAACTACGAGAAACATGAAGCAACTCCACGCCGAAGCCACTCTCTAGTGACCATACTTCTGGAACTCCCACTCACTGTTGTCTGCAATGTCAAATTTCAAATTAGAAGGTGAGATGGTGTGGACGGGCATGAGTAACAAATAACAATCACATTGATCAAGAGGTAGAACCGCCAGGGCTACTGACCAAGAGGGCACACTTGACGGGTCTTTAGCCAACGACTGATACAGTGGAAGTGGAATGCATGGTTGCAAACTCCTGAAAAATACAAACAGACTATCAGTTCTTTCCAAGTCAAGTGACTCTGCTAAGAGTTTCAACACTTTGCAAAATACAATGCAAGCTTTGTAAAGCCACAAACCAGTCTAGGGATGCAATTAACAAACAAGAGGTAAGCTAATCGCTAATCATTTAGGCTAGAAATATTAAAGTACACACATGATCACAGAAGTCTAGTTATTGCCCTTAACTCGAAAACAATTTGAATAACACCCTCATCTTTCAATAATTTTGCTGCGGTTGAGAAAGGTACACAAACAGAATGTTTGGCTACAGAGTGTGGCCTTGTTTTATTTTTCTTAAGGAAAACTAAGATTATACTATGCATTCATATTGCAACAAGCGTACAATACCTAAACAAGCACGGATTTGCCGGATATAAGATTAGCCAAAGTGCACAGTTCTAACCAAAATAACAGCTGTCAAAAATTAAGTAACAAGCAAAAGATCCCAAAAGTAAGCTGTATCCTATTGAAGGAGCCTTTGACATGGATTTCAGAAAAATTACCACCCATAGATTGTTTTTTTATACACCTATATACCTGTCTCCTACCATGGTATTTGAGGGTTTGTTAACAATTGCCACCTAACCTAAGTTTGACCCGGATTCCTGATGCATACAGGATATAAATATGACCTGGGAACTGTCCTAAAAACAAATGAAATATACGTGATTAGAAGAATATTAAATATCCTATTCTTGTCAAAACTGACCTTCAGTAGAAGAGTTAATGAATGCAAGGAAAATCTGATATATCACTCTGAACTGCTTAGCTAGATTACGCAGTTACAGGTGCAACTACAATCAAAGCATACATTGCGATGGCATAACATGTCCATATGGAAGTTAATTATACTCTGGCAAATAACTAAGCATGAGTGCATGACAGTTACTACTCAACTCAATAACATTAACTGCTCTTATGCATCTAAATTAGCCGTTTCTATCAGGATTATAGTTCCAAGCAAGTACCCTCCCCTCCCCTCCCCTCAACACACCTCAGGACACCAGACATACCACGATCAAGGAAGAGATTTTGTTCTATCCAAACAAAAACCAACTAGTGCGCCAATGCCGATTGTAGCAGGTAAATGTCTAAGAGTAATGTACCTCGAGTTCACAACTGTGAGATGTGTCTCACACTTTGACAACCAACACAATAACCAAGTAGATAGGATCAAACACTTCCGAGTAACAGTGCTACACTTTCCAACCACTCCATGGCCCCAAATAATACATCCAATTTCACGCCACAACAATCACCAAATTCAGCAGCAACCGCACACGCTGCGTTTACACAAGTAAACGCTGCACCCGATAGGGTAAAGGGGGCAAACAAGCAAAGCAGATGTGAATCATACCCCAAGCGACGGTGCATTCTTCGCTGGTGGCGCTCGCCTGGTTCGCCTGGCACTCGATGCCTACACCACACACACAAACGCGGAACGCCACGACAAGCGAGGTCAGATCAAATCACAAAACCAGAACAAATCAAAGGGGAAGGAAGGACGAGGGGCGGTGTGCTCACAGAGGTCCATGATGTGGTTGCGGCAGATGGCGCAGTTGTCCACCACGATGTCTGCGGGCGCGAAAACGACGACGAAACAAAGTCAAATCACACGACGAATTCAAGAGAGAAAATAAAAAAAGACAGAGAGAGCGAGAGCCATGTGGCGATGCGCACGCACCCCAGGCCCAGAGAGAGACGGCGTTCCACTTCTTGATATCGAAGCGCTTGGCCTTCTTCCCAGCGGCAGCGGCAGGGGCCGGGGCCACGACGACGACGCCCTTGCCCTTGTCCATCTCGAGACGAGGCGAACGAAACCCTAGCTAGGGATCACGCACGAGATGGGGGCGCAGCGAAGAGGAGAGAGACGAGGCGGCACTTGACTTCCAGGAGACAGACGGACGTCAGAGGAGTCCAGATTTAGCACGAGATGCGATTTTGGAGAAGAAAACGAACGGGGCCGAGCGATGGGGGCCGTCGTAGTTAGCACGGTGGACCGCTGCGAAAGCCCAAAACAATCCTTTTGCTCTGGGCCGTGGTCACGTGATGTTCCTTTTGCTTTGGGCCGTGGTCACGTGATTTTTTCTCTTTTTCTCTCTCTTATTTTTCAGCGCGCGATATTATTATTTGATTGACGTTTCAGATAGGACCGTCCGGAAGGTCAAATAATAACGGATTAATCCCGAGTCACTCTGTGAGAGCAGAACCTATTTGATACACATAGCTAGTAGGGCTAAAAATGAGCTCAATTAGCTAGGATGGTACAATCGTGAATTCAGATGGAGTAGAGTGCATGCTGGGTCCTCAAACTTTTGGGACGTTTCCGTCTGGGTCCTCGAACTAAAAAAACGACTATCTGGGTCCCTGATCTACTGCCGCCGTGCACCAAAGGTCCAAAACCCGCCACGCCAACGCCAACATCCGATGTGGCCGTGCCACGGTGGCAGGTGGACACTATAGCCATGCCAACTTCAAAAAATCCCTCACGTGTTTGGAGCACAGCGCATCACGCCCGCCCCCCTCACGCCGTCACACGCTGCATGCATGCATGGGGGCTGGGCCTGTCCCTGTGCTTGCCGGCTGCCCGACTCCATGATGAGGTTCCCGGCAGCGCATGCAGTACGCGCGGGAGCTGTGGGAGATGGTGGCTGTGTTGGAGGGCTGGTCGCCGCAGGCTCCTCTTCGGGTTAGGGAACGACGGCTTGTCCTCTTCGCCGCCGACGGTGCTGCTGCCCCGTGCATTGCAAGCTGTCGGTGTAGTCGTCGATGGCCAGCTCCCTAGCGCGACGTGGGCACATCCAGCTCCTCCATCATATAGCGACCAAGAGTGCATTCGGCCTAGAGCGCCTGTGCAAGCTGGACGTCGTCATACGGCCATGGCTCTTATCCAAGCACATGGGCTCCAAGAGCCTCGAGCCCTCGACGTCGCTGGCATGGCTGCTGCGAGCTGGGGCAGCACAGGCGCACAACGCATGGTGGAGCTCTCGGTGGCGGCGGGTGCCCATGGCACGCTTGGGTGGACAAGGACGGCGGACAGAACGCCAGCAGGATCGCTGGCGGACATATGAGCGCACGCATGGGCGACTGGGCAGAGTACTAGCAGACGGGGCGAGCCACACCGTGCTCTCGCCTCGCGACGCCGAGCCACGCTATGCTCTTACCTCGCGCACGCCACGCCACGCTGTGCAGGCCGCGCTCACTAGGTTGCCGGTGGGCCGCCTCACCGATCCGTGCATGCACACCGGCAATCGGCCTCGTCGTGCCTTGAGCCCTTGACGCGCCTCAGCCGCGTGCTGCTGCCTGCGTACCGTGCGGAGGGGACGGGGACGTCGCCGGGTGGCTGCCGCGTTCTGCGAGCGCCGCACGTGCGCGCTGCTAGGACGACGAGGATAAGGACGTGCGCCTCCATCTGCACGTGGTCGTAGGAGAGCAGAAGCGACATGATTGGGGAGAGAGGATGGACTTGGGAGTGAGAAAGAGAAAAGGGGGGGTTTTTTTTTTGAGAAGTGGGCATGCCCCAGTGTCCAGCTGCCACTGTGACATGGCCACGTCAGATGCTGATGCTGGCGTGGCAGGTTTTGCACCTTTGGTATACGACGGCAGAAGATCAGTGACCCAGATAGTCGCTTTTTTAGTTCGAGTACCTAGATGGAGTTCGAGTAGCTAGATGGGAATGTCCCAAAAGTTTAAGGACTCAATGTGTATTTTACTCATTCGGATGGTAGCATAAGATCTGCAACCAGGCGAAACAGGAGACAGTGCTCGGACTCAGAAATCACGATACAGACAACCACAATATTCAGTTAAACTTGTCGATCTCATAATTTCTTCGACATTATCTGAGGATTACTATAATCTCCAAAATTTATTGGCACTAGGACCTGCCAGTACCCGTTACAGAAGTGTATGCTTCTGGTACATTATTTTCTGCGTTTGGGAGTAATAATTCCCTTAAAAAGCGAAGGCTTTGTTGCATGTGCTGGTATATGAGTTTACCTGTTTAGGACTTTGTAAGCTGTTAGATATGGTCTTCCTGATGTAAACGGTTTGAGAACTGTCTTCCTTTAGCTTGCAGGAGAGACAGCATCCGTATGAACTCTGGACTATGGGGGTATTGCAGATCAGTTGAGTTGTGACGGTTGCTTCCTCCCAGGGGCGGAGCTACCTGGCATACCCGCAGATTCAGCATGTATTAGAGTATATATACTGTATTTGAAAAAAAAACAATAACAAAAGAACACTTATTTGTAGCCTGGAGAACTGAAAACGAACGCAACGCTAGCAGCCTAGCTTTGTCGAGATGGCCTCTGCAGCTTTGCTGTTTTTCTCCAGGGTCCAGACCCATGCGCCCACAGTCACACGGATGGGAGATCCAGGACTCCATGTCCTGACGCAGTGACGCCTTGGATTCTAGGATCCAACGCACTTACGCACCATCTGTCCTCATCCATTCATTTACTGTAAGTTTGGAGCTAGGGAGCTCGGTTGTTGCCTGCTAGCTGCGCGTGCATGGCTAACAAGTAGCAAGCAAAGCCGACGGTCTGAGACACCAAGACGTGATTCAGTCTTTGCTCTTTTCTCTTCTTTTTCATGTAGAAAAATCTTGTTTACTTTTATCGCTGACAACATTGAGTCATCCCTACATTGCAAATTTTACCACTGCTACTGAATTACTATTACCAAATTATGTTGCAAATTTTACTATTAGTACCGAAGTACGTTGCCAATTTTACTACCGTTACCAAATTTCTAAATGATTTGCTGAATTGTATAGAATTTTTTTTTGGGACGGCATATCCTGAGATAAAATCCTAGATTCGTCACTGCTTCCTATGGTTCCGCCAAAACTAGATGGTGAGCCTCAGAGCACAGCTTTGGGCCGACTCACTTTGGTCAGCCCCTGTTGAGACCTTTAAACATGAAGTACCCAGTACTGGCAACAGTCAGGCAAATAAGTGGACAGATGACCGTGTCCAGCACCCGGTTCCTGCCGGCGGTATTGGGCATGTTCGCTGGTTGGTGCTGGTGCTGGTTTGGGCTGGCTGGTGCTGGTTTTTTTGAGAGAAAAACACTATTGGCTGGCTGGTTTGGGCTGGCTGAAATCAACAAGCGAACAGGCTGATTGGCTTGGCGTGTTAAGACCAAATGCTCATGAAGCAGGTTGGTCAGATTGTCGAGCTGATGTATAACCTGGCGCTGACCTCTTGATATGTTCATAATCTGAGTAGGAAACAAAGCATCAAACATGAAATGTCAAGATATGTACGTACAAAAGAATGTGTTACATTAAGATAGGCGCAACCAACACTCATGTTTATTAAGATAGGCACAGCCAACACTCATGTTTTTAGGTTTAAAAATAAATACTAAATATCACAACATACTGAATAACCAAACAACTTGCATATACCAGAAAAAATGTGCAATGTTTCATTCAGCCTAGGCTTTGCACAATACATATCTACAAAGAAGAAAAATCATATGCCCATTGGCAGCTTCGAGTCTTAGTCATTAAGAACCTCTGCCACATGAATATTTAATGCCACATTTTTTTTTGGAAAGGCGATATGGGATTGTTTACCTGAAATACAGCTTAATGTTGCAGAATATACAAGTTTCAAATAATTTTATACTAGTTGCTGACACTAAATGATATTTAGTTTCATTGATTTTGTTAGTCTGTTCATGAAAACTAATATTACATCAAACTATCTTATGAAATCATCCAGTAATCATTGTTCTCACACAATATGTGTATTTGGCAATCCAGATATGATTCCACATCCATAGATGTATAGTTGCATAGTTTTTTTGTCGTTGTTAACAATATTGTGACACTACCTGTACTGGAAATGGAACTGGATTACTTTTCTTTTTACTTATTTCAGACTAGATAAACTAGAAATAAAAGGACCTTGATGTCGCCTAAGAGGCCTAAAGGGGGGTGTGAATAGGTCTGTAAAAATTCAACTCGAAACTCTGTTAGAACAGAGGGCGGCACTGCCGGCCTTATAGGGCGGCACTGCCGCTCTTCAAAAATAAAGCAGATAGTGTTGAGATTTCACAGATAGTAACCTGACCCTCTCAACTGCTCAATCCTGCAACAGAAAGACAAAATCCAGTTCGAAGACTGGATACCACATAAATCTCACAAGAGAGGATCGAGCTACCAAACCCTAACAACAGCTAGCAAAGAGCTGAACTAGCAAGAACACAAAGTGAAGCACGCGAGACACAAAATTTATCCCGTGGTTCAGCTCGCCACCAAGGCTTGCCTAAGTCCACGTTATTGAGGCATCCACAAAAGGATTGGCTCACCATCAAGGCTTGCCTTGCCCTAGTTCTCAAATCAAGAGAATGAACTATTGAAGTGAGGGGTAATTTCTTAGCTGCAGGATGATGTTACAAACCTTCCAAAGCTGCCACACGAGTTGGCAAGCACAAGGGCGACGCCTAGCCGGCTAGGAGCAAGCTCTAAGAGTAACAAACCCTAGAACCGTCGGCCAAACGTGAACCAAATGTTCTTAGACTTTGAGAATCAGTGGATCTTCTCTTCAATCGAGTTTTGCTGCCTTTTCTCTCAAGTTTTGATGGTTGGAATTAAGGATTAGCTTAAGGGATGGAGGACCAACAATGGAGGAGAGAGGTGAGCTTTGGTTCTGTCTGGTTTCGAGCAAAATGATTCAGTGGAGAAGATGACCGTTGTGGGCCGGACCTAAAGGGTATAAATACCCCCGAGCCCAATGGTCAGTTAAGGGCGGCACTGTCACTTTTAACAGGGCGACACTGTCGCCCT